GAAGATTTCTTATCGAAAGGTGGAGCACTGTGGACACTTTCTCTGGAGGCCTTGTATTTCAGGAAACAAAGATGAAGGCAATGCCAGGAAATGAATGACATGCACACACACACACACACACACACAAATAACAATAATTGACCCGGGGTGGAGATCTTTAGATGAAATATCTTTGTTTGTCATACATGAAAACAACTTTCAGACTTCAGGATAATAGCATTATGGTGGTTCATGGTTTGGAGAAGAGATTTACTGACAACACTCAGCAGCATAATTAGTGCTGCATACTTTCTTTTCCTGACTGACAATAATCCATGGGTAGTAGTAACTGAGATCCTCCTTTGCAATACAGCAGATGATTACTTTGTAGTAGAACTTATTAGTTCTTACAAAAATTCTGTAAAAGACATAAGAAAACTAAGGCACAAAGAACTTAAGCAACTGCTTTATGAAATCAAGGATTAAGAGGAGGAAACAGGATTTTCACTGACATAATAAACTAATAAAAAGTAGTTATGAAAAACTGCAAATTCTACAGCACAGAGCTTTGACAAGTATCAGTTAATGTCCTGATTTTCCTATATGTCTCCTTCTGCGTTTCTTCTTCCATATCATTTTGGAACAAATTCCAGTTAACACTAACAACCATGTGTAAGTGTATTTTCTGAAGAAATAAAATTCTTCAATAAAGCAATGATTAGTTCAAACTTTAGTAGTAATTTCTTAGTATTAGTCACTTAATGTACACATTGCTAGTTTATTTTACATCGTGTTTATGTGAATTGGGATCCAAATGGAGTATATATCCTTGCTTTTTTGGCAGGGGTGAGGGTCTAGGAATTGAGCTTTGTGCATACTAAGCACACACTCTGCACCCTTAGCCTATGTTGCATTTTTAAGAAATAGATCTTCAGTTTGTTTCAGACTGTAGTTTCACTAACACTTAATTTTCTTTTGCAATTTATTTGTTGAAGAAATTGAGACTTTTGATGGAGCTTTCTCTTTAGTGAACTCTAGCATGCTCTTTTGACTTGGTTATTTATGTGTTTGTTTTTGTCAATACAAATCCATGAACAAAAATTGTTCTTTTTTCATCCAGAGGCATATATATACATATGATCCCACCCTCAGTTAAATATGGATCATGAAAATAAATTATAACGCTGAATCTGTCACCATATAGGACAGATAAAGCAGTCTTATTCAGCCACATATGTGATGAAAGGTGCTTCAAAAATACGTCAAAGATAAAGAAGAAAGTGAGAGTAATTTCAGATCCCCATAATGGGGATGGCATATATGATGGTAGAACTCATTTGAAAATTTAGAATTAGAAAACATTATGAACTCAGTAGTCAGTTTTATCCTAATACAGTAATACCTTGGTTCATGAAAGCTTCTCTTCACAAACAATTTTGTTTCCAAACAGAAGCATTTGGCAAAACTTTGTTTCTGTTGGAGAACTCTATATTGGGTGAGGAACACAAATGTGGCCGTCTTTCCTAGAGTGTGGAACGAATTAAGTTGGTGAATCAAGATACCACTGAACTCTGAGAGAGGAATAACTCCAATAAAAGCAGAGTGTATAGAGATTTTATTTCAATACATGGCAGAAATGATCTCAAAGCTATGCTGTGAACTTTCCACCATAAAACAGCAGGGTAGCCTCATTTTAATCAGTCGGAAAGATAAATCTGAATGCAAGGGAGCCAGAAAAGAACAGGTGGAAAACAATCTTTTGTCTCTGCCTATCCAGAAACTGTAGAAACAAACCCTAAAATACAAGACAGTATATCCTAAGTATATAAGTCTTAAATCCATAATGACTTCTGAGGTGTCAAAGATGAATATTTATAGAGGAGGGGGATGTTGGTCAAATTTTAAGGGATTGTTAGGGTGGAAGTAGGAAAAAAAGGCAATGGATTTTCCATAAAACATCCACGTATGAAGAATGATGAGTGGCTAAGAATGAGCACAGTATGTTCAAAGGATAGCAGTAGATAAACATTTTTAAAAATGCATACAGCAGTCACACATATAAATGGTGCACCAGGTGTTTCTGAGGACTCAGGCCAGCTTGGTTCTTGATCTACTTTAGCCGTCAGGCACCCTGTATTATCCATTTAATTTCTTTGGATTTCTGCTCCATTATCTGGAAGAAAGATTAGCTTTGGTTTCCTGATTTCAGGAAAATATAAGTATTTTGAATGTTGAACTAATTAGTTTAAAAAATTTCAAAACCAAGCCTAGCGAAATACAACTTGCTATCTACTGTCATAATTATTTATTGAAGAAGGTATATTAAAAGTAGAAAAGAAAGCAAAGGCAGACAGTGGTTCAGAAAAATCTTGCTTTATAGTAAAAACCAAAACAAATTGTCCTTATATTTTTCTTATTTACATGTAGTCTGATAAAAATATTTTTATGGCATCTGTAGGATTTGGGAACCATAGATACTTAAGAGTCCTTCTCTTTGTGATATTCTAAGAACTCGTATCTGGGGTAATTTGCTCATAGTCCTCTTCCTGTATTATTTCAACACATTAGTTAATAGCCTAATGTTTTGTCCAGTCTTTCAGTATGTAGAAGGTTATTGGGTCTGATGTCCAAATAGTTCTTGTTGGAAATACAGTTAAGTGCAAGAGAAAGCAAAATCATGTTGGAAACTGGAAGAGTTATCTTCTAGCCACATTTTATCTCTTCTAACTAGATGAGCTTGTTTGCGTCACTAAACTTTTTCTAAATGTCATCTAGAAAAAGGGAATCATCACATTGCATTACCTGTCACAATGAATTGTTGTGAAGTTGAATAAAATAACATTTTTAATTTATAAAGTAATCTCTAAGGTCATTGAAATTATTAATAATAAAGCATCAATATGTTAAATCTCACAAAGGGGCATGGATTGATTACTAACTCAGAGAAAGTTATATGATTATAATTTTAATCATTAAAATATTTCTCCAAGACCTGAACTGCAAAAATCATAATATGGAAGATTGTATTTTTATAATAAATTTTCAGAAATAAAATATATATTTATCATTATTCTTAAGTAGTTTCTTTTCTTACAAGATTCTAGGATGAAAACATAACTTAAATTGTTACCTGCCCAGACAAATTCTTTTCCTCCACATCTGAAATGTTCTTTGCAGTTTAGTTTTCAGAAAATGTTAATAGAGTCTCTAGAATTCAAATTCTCCAATGTATAAAAATAAGTCTGCATGGATATGAAGACTTTGACCACACACACACACACACACACACACACACACACACACACAGCCCAAGAAGAAATAATGAGATATGGGCAGTAAGTGTACTCCAAATGAAAGGAAATGTGTCTTTTTTGAGTTGGATAACATTAATTATCAAAGATTTGGCAGAAGTACACTCCCTCTAATTGCATGAAATTAGTAAATTGACATTTCTGAAAATGGCAGTGATTATGGTTGCATAATGCCGTTAAATATCCTCCTACAAGGTAGCTGTTCTGGAAGTTTACTGTTTATTGCTGGAAACTCTTCACTCCTGTATTTCTATGGGAACTGTTTCCATAGTGAGTTCTATATTTACGGAGCATTTTGATGTTAGTTCATAATCACCTGCTTTTTGACACTGAAATTTAAGAAGATAGTGGCCACTAATTTAGGAACAAGATATTTTTCCCACTGTCAGCAGAATAATGATATTGCAAATGAAAAGATATTTGGAGAAAACTCAGAAGTAAGTAATTTTAGATAAAGTATAGGTAATTTTCATGAAAGAAATGAAGATGATTGACATATGCCTACCATGGACAGTTTATGAGCGTATTCTTTAAAGACACAAAATGAGGATGATTACTTCTCAACGTAGTAGTTATAGTACACTGCTGTAGATGTTTTTAAGGGAAACCTTAGATTAAATTATGTTTTCTTTGAGATAGGAGTAGTAATTTTTGATTTGCTTTTGCCATATTCCCACATCTAATAAATTGATTGTTCCTAGGTGTAATGTAACAAAGGACTATCGAACAAATGAAAAAAAGATCTCTAATTTCAGATATAATAAAAATTTCAGATACAATAAAAATATATTTAAGATTTAGGCTATGCAATGTTACAGTATAGAAATTACCACAGTAATTTAATAGAATATTATATTTTCACTTAATATACCACATGAATAAGAGTAAAGCCAAAGGAAGACAAAAGGTCTCATTTAACATGATTCTCTATTAAGATTCATAATGATTTATTCATAGCAAGACCATTTTTGAATAAAACCTGTTTAGTGATTAATGAAATGTTTTATAGCGCCACAAGCACTTTGCTTATTCATTGCTCATATTTATGAACTAAAAGCAATAACTCTATTAGACATAAATCTTACATTCAAAAGTAAAGTTACATATAAAATTAATTTTAGAGAAGTTATGTCTACCAATTTATTGTTGTAAAATATCAATTAAAATTGATATTGTTCTGGTATTCCAATTAAACCTGAAAGAAGTGGTCTCTCAAAGTCTGGATAAATTTTCAAGTTATTGTCACACAATTTGGTTATATCATTATGTGTACATCATTTATAGATTTATCAAAAGGGAGCTTCATAACTGATAATTTAGTTACGGTACTTCTCTATTGATAAGGTATTTATGTAGAAATGCATAGATTTATACATCACTCAAACTGACTCAAAAACAATGAAGCGAAACAGTGTATACTGAAAGACCTGAGCTATGTATTATAGAAAATACAAATTTTGTATATAGATGATGATTTTCATAGGGAGAGTACCATATTCAGTTAATGATTAGAAACAAAAATTATCATTTGACTTCCTTGCAAAAGGATAAAGCAAGCCTATAAAACTGAAATGGATATAGTTCTTAGAAGAAAAAATGTTACTGGTAACAGTTACTCTAATACTGACTTCCTTGTGATTCCATTCTTTGGAGTACAGTAGCCATTCATCCCTTTTCATTGACTGTACACTCCTTTTATGTTTATGTTAGGTCTGAACAAAGTGCCCACTGATCTTCCGCCAGACACAACACTGCTGGACCTGCAAAACAACAAAATAACTGAAATCAAAGATGGGGACTTTAAGAACCTGAACAACCTTCATGTAAGAACCATTTTATCTTTTAGTGACAGTAATATATGACTCAATGTATTTTTCAGAGCAAAAAGTAGAGAAAGGCAAAAGTACTCATGGTAATAAATTAATGCATATGTGTTTAGTGAAATATCTCAGTGATGGTGAATGAGCAAAGCATCATTTGAATTAACCAGCAAAGTATTATCCAGTGTTCCTGCACATAACCCACTTTTAGCATTTTCTCTAAAAAACTTTATATCTAAATCATTTCTCATGTCATGGTGAACAAATAAATATATGTCCCTTTTTAGGTTGTACTTCAATAGTGGAAAAATATAAAATAGATAGATACTGGCATTATTTTATTTTTTTGCTCCTTTCATTTATTTTCTAAGAGAAGTGTCAATGGTTTCTAAATTCTCAAACATTGGCACCAAGAAATAATCATCCACATTTTATATATGCACATATTCTTGGAAATGTACTTTTGATTATATGTGTTTTTTACTTTGATTTCCACTTACTAGATTATGATATCCAGTCGACTGGTGAGAATTCTGTCAGAAAAGAGATGTCATTCAAATGGGTTTTGTGGAGGAAATTTTATAGAAGGGATTCTTTGCTTGGGGTATGGAAATTAACAAAGCATTATGAAGAATCTTGATCCACAAGACCTGAAGGCTTGAAGGAACTCAGGAATCACAGAGTTATTGAAGAGCAGAGTAGCTGTTGTCCTGACTCTTATTTCTTGCTAACATCTCCTCTGGCTAAACCTGCTTAGAGGTCAGAGAGGGGCACTGGGTTGATGCAGTCCCTAAAGGTCAGTTTCCCAGGACATAAAGAAGACCCTAAAAGGATAAAGCAAAAATGCAGTCTTAGGGAAAAGTTTTCAATTAGCAACAATCGCGGCTCAGATAAATCTTATTGGCTACGATACTGCCTCTGCGCAAAGCTAAGAAGAATACAGTCTTCTGGAGAATTATCAGCCTACAGAAATAGGGTTAAGCCTTCTCAGGCACCTTTCTGTAAAAGTAAAGTCAATGTCTGCTCACATGGGTCACCAAAATCATTATGTGAGATAAGTATGTGGTAGTTTCCCCTCAAAATACCAGTGCATACATACTACAAACAAGCCAGGTTTGAATGTCTAAGATATCCTATGAAAATTTCACAGTGTCTGTATTCCACTGTGGGAACACTCTTGAACTGTTGGCTGCAGTCCTTGGGATGACAACGTTAAGAATCACACTAAAGAGCATCCAGAGAGATGGTCCTGGGAAGGAGGAGGCTGGAAATCATATAGGCACACAGATTGAGACCCAGATATCTAAACTGAATGTAAAAGAACCATTCATGACACATTCAGAAGGACATGTTGAAGAGAAAAAATTGAGTTTATTTTCTTCAGTCATAAGATAATAGAACTAGCTCTCCTACCAAGCAGAAATTTTAGGAAAAGATTTCCATTCAATGTTAAAATTGCAATTTAAAAACATAGAATTTTTAGAGAACAGGATTACCTAGTGATTAGCCCATGTGTGGAGACGGATTCACAGTTTCTTTTAATGAGTTTCATAGAAATTCCTTTTTTTTTTTTAGGTTAGGAGCATAAAGGTTGTAAATTTTAATTTCACACCCATTTACTTCTTCTAGGAGATGTAGTAAGAATAAACAACGTATTGTTATATGCATTAGAATAAGAAATACAGATATAAGGGACTTCATAAAATATAAAAAAGAATAATTTGGCCAAGATATAGTTGATATAATGAAGATAAAATTTAGATATTAGCTTTCTGACTGCTCAAATGAGAAAAGCAATATTAACTAATTAGAAAAAGATAAAAAACAAAAAACAAACAAACAAAAAAAACATATACCAGATTTTTTAAATGGAGCAACTATTTCTTCCTTAAGACTTTAAGATTCTACATGGAATCACTAAAAGAAAATCAAACACGTAATAAAGAATCCATGGTCGATTTGTTGATACATCCAACAATATAAACCATATGATATAATTAGAAAGTGTCAAAAGTTCAAAGTAAGAGAAAAATTAGACATCATTTTATGTCAGTTAACCAGGTAGTGTTTTGAAAGTATATGTGATAAAAATGTTCTAGATTAGCAGAGAAAGAAAAGGCAGAAAAAAGAAAAGAGGGGTTTCTGTGAAAGAAGAAAGCAAAGGCAGAAGAAAAGTAAGCATCAGACAACAAAAAATACAAGCTGACTCAAGGAAAGGTACGGGCTCCAAAACATTGCCTGAGCGAGAGAAGCTAAAGCAGGACGAGGGGGCCACTGCACTGCGACTGCACGACAGGAAGCTGGGGGTCCCCTCACCTCCTCTGTTTGCTTCCTAAGGCTGCACAGGCGATGAGCTGATAGTGAAACCAGAGAGGTTTGCCACTGACTATCTAAACTATCACTGGAATACTTTAAACAGGTGACAATAAAGACGGACTATTATTAATTTTAGTAAATATTTTGCTAAGCTTCTTTTTATTTGCACAAATTTACCCTAAAGCTACTTTTATAAGGAAGGAAAATTCTCTCACAACAATCTCAGCTTCCTGTATACTTTAAGTACTCTCTAAATACTCTTTTAGAACTTCTGTATCCTTAAATGAGACACAGCTGGTTTCTGTACCGTTCCCTTTAAATCCAGTGTTGGTACTAATGTGCTCTTTCTTTGTCCAAGTCCCCTTTCTGTGTGTGTTCCTGGGCCGTCCTCTTCATGATTCCTTTGTTTCCACTTCAAAGTGACCATTGGAAGAAGAGTTTATTAGAGCTTCTGACCAGGCAGAGGATGTAAAATAACTATTTTCATCCTACTCTTCCATTTGTGATCATTTCCATCCTTGCTATTATGCAAATAAACACCATGATTTCAGCTAGGAAAGCTGCACTTGAGTGAGAAAGAAGGAGAAATGAAAATTTAGTAAGGATTAAAATAGATTTAACAGCAAAAATAAGATTTCTTTATTCTCCAAATTTGTACTAATTTACAATGTCTTGGTTGTATGTGAGTAGTTGCTTATGAGTAGATTTAAATTTATAATGAATAGGAAAATATATCATTGTTTATAATACAATTGAAAATGAAGTATGATAATGCTAACATTCAGTATTTTTTCTTTTCAATTAAAGCTTAATAAATCTAGTTAGGAAGAATTTTTAAATTAAAAATTAACAAAAATTGCCAACAACTGAATAATAGCAAATACTTGTTCAGCAGTTTCTGTATACTAGGCACTGTTCTTAGTTCCTCAGATACATGAATCTGTTTGATCCTTAGAATTAGTATTATTTTTATGCTGTACAGAGACTCAATATCTCCTTTAGACAGACAAAGAAATGTAGGAACAGAGAGGTTAGATGGTGATAATCACACAGGAGCTAAGAGCCAGACTTTGAATGTAGCAACTCAGGACTAGAAATTTGTACTAATAATTGCCTATAAATATGTGACTAAAAAAAAGGAAAAAAACGTAGAATAATACCTGGTGTAGTGTAAACCCCACATAAGAGGCTTTGGAGAAAAATGTACATGTTAAAAGTAAGAGTTCAACATCTATCAAAAAAAAAACACTCAAACAGATTTTTCAGTTTCATGTATTTAAGTTTCATATATTTAATACATTAATATTAATGTTTCATATATTTAAGAATATCATATATTTAAGTGTATCAAGCTTTCACAGTTTTGCTCCAGAAATAGCAAATGAGAATCTCTTTTGCATTTTTCATTAATCTTTTTCCATTTTGTATTTGTGGCAAACTTCTGGATGCAAGTCACTTTTCAGTGTTCTGGCTCTTTTTTTTAGTAATTTCTAGCAATTTCTAGTAATTTTTTGTAATTTCTCTAATGTTTTGGCTTGTTAATATCAATTTTCTTAAGCCCCAATTTTTTAAAAAATTTTCTGTAATATTTATTAGAATCTCTTAGAATTTAGATTAATCCAACAATGCATCGTTTAGGGTTTGTTTAATGATTGCTACTCAAAATAAGAAGTTTTAATGCATTAAATGGACTACATGAGAATATATGTGGATTAATCATTCATTACCTTCAGAAAATATTGTATTTATGAATCTGAAAATCCTCATATTCTATGAATTCAATTCCATTTCTCCCCCCTACATTATCATGTATTTAAAAATGTAGACTAAAATTGAAAACAAAATTTTCTTAACCCTTGATAAAAGTATATAAAGTTCCTTAAAGATGGCTGATAAAATAGCTGAAAATAAAACAATGTGTTTTTTAGAACATATGGATCATTGGAATGGAATAAAGAAGTTCACAATTGCATTCAGCAAAGTCTATAGCAACAACAATCATTAAAGCCAATTTCTTATATTAGGGAATACACAAACAAAAATTTAAAAAGTACTAAAAATATTGACATGTTTGTCACATAAAACTTTTCATTATAAAAAAAGGCAGATAAAAGCCAGAAGAAAATATAGTACATTTCTTTGTGTCATACTAACTACATTCTGTGGACTAGATATTAAAATATATTAAAATTTAATAAAATGAGAAGTATTCTGAGCCTGGTGGTATATTCCCATAATCACAGCACTTGGGAGGCTGAGGCAGGAAGATCATGAGTTTAAGGCCAGCTTAACCTACTTAATGAACCCATTTTTCAACCCTGTGTCAGAGACAGAACAGAGAGAGTGAGAGAGAGAGAGAGAGATTTGTTATTGAGTAATTTCTCCTCAAAAAAGGAAATAAATTGTAAGAAAACAAAGAAAATTAGTTTCATCTTTCAATTGACAAAGACATCCAAAGTGAAGCAATGAGCTAGTACACAGTTAAAATAAACCACATAGTTATATAAAAGATACAACTTTCTGTGGGGCTACATTTTAGTCTCCTGTATTGCTGGTGACAGGGTACCATACCACTGCCCATTTCTGTCAAGGAATCTGTGACAGTCATCAATGCAGATGGGCCTTTAGGATGAAGAGCGAACTGGAAAATGAGTAAGTGTGACACTGATTGTTTGTAAGTATCTTGATCATTATAGTTATGCAATCTTTGGGAGTATTAATCTTTTTAAAGTATATACACATACCAGATGTGTAAAGTAAATGAATTACATCTGCTTACTTCTTTTTTAGTTCTTGGAATTTTCCAGATGTTTCTCTGTTGGTTCCATGAATAGAATGAATTCATACTTGTGCACTCTCTCGCTCTCTCTCCCGCTACATATATGTGCATATCTGTATGTGCACATTTATGAAGATGCATTCAGAAAATTTTAGATTTCTCAAAGAAAATTTTTCTTTGCTTATTTGCTGCCTACAGGCGTTAATCCTTGTCAACAACAAAATTAGCAAAATCAGCCCTGGAGCATTTGCACCTTTGGTGAAACTGGAAAGACTTTACCTGTCCAAAAATCATCTGAAGGAATTGCCAGAAAAAATGCCCAAAACTCTTAAGGAGCTTCGCGTCCATGAGAACGAGATCACCAAAGTGCGAAAATCTGTCTTCAATGGATTGAATCAGATGATTGTCGTAGGTACATATATTCTTATTACTTGACAAGGCCAAGACTCAAGGTTCAACTTCAGATATTTCAAGTAAGCTTTAGCTGCGGGAATGTGAACAAGCTGAAGTTGGTGTACCCGGACCCTGCATGAAATGCAGAAACAGGGCCAGGAGATATGGGCGATTCAATCTGTGTCTTACAAGGATATTTTTATTCCTTAACCTTGAGGATCCAAGAACATGGAGAAGGCTGGAAGACTGAAGTTATCCTACCATATGACCCATAAGAAGGGTAGATTTAAGGAGAGCTTAATTAATTGTTCACAGTTGGGATATGTGTATGTGTGTGTGTTCTGAAAACACATAAACCATTTGCTTAAAAAATGTATTACAAAGTTTTGTTATATGTGTGGTAAAAATATAATTTTATATTTGACTTACAAAATGCTATACTCAAATTTTTAAATATAATTTTCAAGTATTTTAGGAGAGTAGTGGCATAGATATGATTTACAAGCACTTGCTTTTTAATTTATTTTTAATTTGTAGTGGGAATTGAACCCAGGGCCTTAATTCTGAGCTACATCCCCAGTCATACTTTTTATTTTGAAACTACAGCATTTGCTGTAGTGCTAAGTGTTTCTCTGCAATCCTTAAATAATACCACTTTTCATAAATCTTTGGTTTTTTTTAATTTTTCTAATTTTTGTTTGTTTGTTGCAGTTCTGAGGACCATGCTTTTCAATTTCTTGCATTTTTCTGTCAAGATATTCCTGATGCAAAATTCTTTCTAGAACCCTTGTTGAAATGGACACTGTTCTGATTTGTAATTTCCTAAGCTCTTCTCTAAAACCTTTGCCCTTATTGCATTTGTAGAACTGGGAACCAACCCACTGAAGAGCTCTGGAATTGAAAATGGAGCCTTTCAGGGGATGAAGAGGCTCTCCTATATCCGCATCGCTGACACCAATATAACCGCCATCCCTCAAGGTGATAGAACTTTCTGCAAAACATTTTGAAAATACTAAGTTCAAAGGTTTTGACATTTAAAAAATAAGTGGTTGTTGAATTTTAAATTATGACTTAAGAGCCCTGTCTTATTTCTAGTAAATCCTCCAGACCCGGAAGTATTTGGATTGAGCCTGGATAATCATCAGGCTATCTAGGTTCACTGGAAAGATCAACAGAGCCCTTGTGAATTTCCTTCTAAGATGTAGCTTTATGCACAGTGATTTTATAGTAAGGATCATATCACAAAGAAAAAAGTATAGCTATTTTTAAAAGATTATTTTGGTTCACTGTAAAGGACAAAAAAATAAATGGAAGTGCTTCTGAAACTCTGCCAATTTTTCTGTCAAATTTCCTTTCCCTTAAAGAATTCTTTTCCATTTTAGAACATTTCAGTCATTTGTTTGAATAAGGAGATCCACTTGCTCCTATTTAATAGTGACAGTTGTGGATTTTAAGGATATAGATTTTGAAGTCAATTGTGCTTGAGTTCAAGTTGTTAATAATGAGATCCAAGGACCTTCTTCCTCAATTTTGTGATCAGTAATGTGAAAATAATATCCACCTCACTGAGTTGTTTTAAAATTAGCTAATGAGTAGAATATCTGACATGTAGATAGTAGGGATTAATATTTCTTCCTATTATTCATTAAAATGTGTTGAACATGCACTAGACTTAGACAATGTACTGAACTCTTGACAGAAAATGAATGGGGATGCCACCTACTGTTGGGAGCAAGGCTAGAAGGGTAGGCAGCAGTCACTACCCAGTCACGGTGCTGATAGTTGCCCAAGAGAGGCACCTAAGACAGTCTTTGTGAGTCACAAAAGGTCCTAGCCACAGAAAAATACCTCTATCTTGAACATTTTCTCTGCTTCATGTTTTTAGTCTCACAAAAGCTCCTGTATATTCTCAGGTTTTCTCCTGAGTCTGTCCCTTCCTCAGCTCAGACTCCTGGTTCTTGGATTGGATACTAGATGCATGTACTTATTCACAGGAAACATCTGTTTTTCTTTACTGTGATATTCCAGAAACATCAGCCCCTGAGAGAGCCTATTCCATAGAATGCTTTCTTACTGCCCCTAACCTTTATCACTGCCTGTGGGTATGGAGCATTCTTTTGTTCCTGTAAAAATAAATACAAGGATGGGCAGATTATAATTGGATTGATAGATTGATAGAAGTTGATTTATATTTTGAAAAGCATTTTCATAATGTCTTCATTTTGTTGTATATAACAAATAATCTTTTAAATATTTTAATTACATTTTACATATTATAATGTACTTATATAGTCATATTATATATTATGTATATACTATATATTTAATAAATATGTATTATTTTACATATATATTAATATATATTCCCTCCATAGCCACAGATTCAAACAAACATGGATCAAAAATGTTTAAAATAAACGGGATCTGTATTGAATATGGAGTCCTTCTCTAACTAGCACAGTTTAACTACTTTCTCTATACCATTCCTTTGTATCAGATATTCCAAATGATCTCAAGGTAATTAAAAATATATGAGAATGCATGTGAGGGATATGAAACTGCTGTGCCCTTTTATATAACAGACCTGATCATTGACACATTTGGGGATTTGTGGGGGGCTAAACCCATCCTTCATAGATTCTGAAGGGCAAGACTATAAATCTGCCCACACACATCCTCAAAATACATCCTCAAAATATCCCTCAGGTAAACATTTTATTGCTGAGCAATCTTTTTCTTTAGTTTTCTCATGTGTTCTTCATATCCAGGACACTCTTTTCTCATTATGTCTGGCTTATTTTTTATTTACTACCTCTTAAGAACATAGACACTGGAGTAACTACAACTTATTAAACACTTTGTGCAAAGTATCATATAAAATACTTTTCATAGCTTCAAAACACCCCTTTATAGTAGTATCATCCTCCTAAAAAATGATAAAAATGATGCTTAATGAGGTGAACCAAATTATGACATAAGTCTTAGGAAGTAGGACCTGGCAGAGCTGAGATTGTGCATGGCTAAGGTCGGACCTTGTTTAAGGCCCTTCTTCCTGTGTATATTTTTGCTTATCGAGTAAATGAGTAACTCTGAAGCTGGCACTCTGCACATAACCTTCCTCCTGGTCACATTCTCTTCCTTCACCCCTGGGGATGGAAAGGAAATAATACAGTGTAGAGACTACAAATCACAGTTTTGAATTACAGCAACTTATTGAAATGTGTAACTCAGTCATTCGGTTGTTCTTTGACTTTAGACTAAGTATTTACATCTTTAAACCATCAGTTTTGTTTACTATAAAATGGAGGCAAATAACACCTATGTTCCAGAATTACTGAGAGGATCATTAGATGTAAGTAAGGATCATATTATATACACACTGCCTATATTAAGGTAATCCTCGTGTATTTTGTCTCTAAAAAAGGAAGAGGAGAGGAAAAAATACATAAAGGTAACTAGAGAATAGTTTCTTTAGCCAAATACTAGAGTGGGTTAGGATAATGAAGCTATTAATAAATTTGCCTTTCTTGATGCCACTGGATCGAGAAAGTATTATTCCATAGTCAAAGTTTCTCTTAGTTGTAAGTTCACTTTTGAGAAACTGACACTTCAAAAAGGGAGACACTTAGAAACTAGTAAATACTGATAACTGCAGTGATAATTGGTATATTAGAGGTGGTGCCTTTAAATTTTATTTCCATGATAATAGGGAAGAATGTACATGCAATATACTCTATAGCTATGCTTCACAATAGGAGTATTTAAAAATCCATATTCATTTATTATAAGGAGAATACAATGGTTCAAATGATTTATTCCCCACATGGTTTTGGTTTTCTAATATTTATTCAAAAGAAAAAATACAATTGTTATTTCATTT